TTAAATGTAGTAATCATATGTTTTGCCAAAATAAATACATACACAAAAAATCCACAGTAGTGAATTTGGGGAACTATTTTCAGAAAGGAATTAATAGGTTAGGTTTTTGTTATATATCCAACTGATTAATTATGTTTTTGTAACATTTTTGTAAAATAGCCCTACATTTTTAAAATTAATTTAATATTTAACACACAGTTTAAAATGAATAAAAGACTAAACAGTATACAACTTAAATTCTATAATCGGAAAACGATTGTCTCAGGGGGCTCAGCATTGACCAGGATTTAAAACCAGGCATTTTCTGGCGACAACCCACACACCACATTAAGCATTCACTGCACCACCTGGTGGTCTTACGAAATAGTGCCGTCTGACGGAATATTTTTTTAAAAGTGCTGTGTGCTGAGGTGTGTCACCACGAATTGCCGCATTACGCAGCGTGCATTCTGAATGGCTGGATCGGTACTGTATCATTAATGGAATCTTTGTAACACCAACAACCTGATGTTTATCGTATTGCCCCCAAGAGACCTTGCTGATTGAGTTAAGCAGTGCAAACAACTTGGCTGTTTGTCTGAAAAGCTTAAGAAACAAATCTGTGCATGACACTGTTGCTAGCTTACCTCCTCTTGCTTGGAATGACCCCCATTTCTTCGCTGTCCCCCTCCGGTGTGACCCTCCTTGCTTGCCACCACTCATCATCTGAAGCATTGATAACATGGAGGATGTCGCCATATTTAAAGCTGAGACCTTGACTGGGTAACCCACTGTCCTTTGTTTTCTCATAGTCAAACAGAGCCCTGCAACACATTAATGCGTACATTACTCTTACAAGTTTAATACCATAAACACCTTCCTTCATACTCCACTATTATCACATTCTTTTTCTGATTCATCTTAAAGAGTTTTTTTCTAGTTTTTGTGTTCAGTAGTTACCAACAACAAAAACAGTGTGATTTCTGTTCATTATTCTCATTCAATACTTCTATTTTCTTACTTTTTAATTGAATGAAATGGCATTGCAGCACATGTGTACAGCTACATAGATCATTTGTGAAAATATAGTGAAAGCCTTATCTGTTTAATTTTTGCTAGACGATTACTAGGCATTGAAATTGTTAAATTTAAACTTAACTGAATGATGGAATGATAAAGATGTCAATAGGAGTAGTTTACAAAAATCATACAAATGCAATCTTACATGTCACGTTCTTTCTATTATAGTTGAAATGTTGTATGAGTTAAAAATAAGAATTTGCTAGTATTTTCATACTGTATGGTGTCTGGGAAAGTGTCTGGCTTAAGCCCAAACATAAGCACAGTATATGTTCTCAAGCTTGCCTTCACATTTGAATTCGGTGTGTGTGTAATAATAATTATCCTAAAACCTACATTATCTGAGCTTTAAAGTATAAGATGAACATAAGATTTACTGAAAAAACATCTTTGTATAATTCCATCCCAGTTTTTATAAAACACATGAGTCAAAAAGTTTCGAAAGCTATTCATTTCAAATTAAGCAGGACTTTCTCTTTGACAGGTGAGGACATTAGGCTCTAATTGGGAAATTTACATGGCAGGCCATAGCCTTTTCCCCAGCCTCATGAAGGCCTAGAAAGTTTTGGTTTTGGAGACTGACTTTTAATGAATTCATTCTCCTCAAGACATCTGCAACCTTTTCAATGTTTGCATCTCAGTAACTGTCATGAAATGAAACAAAAAAAAAAGACCAGTGGAGTTTCTGTCTTGGGAAATAAAAGACAAAGAAAATATGACAAGCCACATGGAAGGAATTCTTTCAGTTTTGCAGACTATTTGCTGATTAAAAAGCTACAGTATTTGCTGCATAGTAAACTTGCATTAGAACTGACGTGACCCCCATTAACCTGTCATCAGTTTATGAAATGTCTACTAGGTTAGCTACAAAGATGTGCTGAGCAAAGAGCAATCGCTCTTGTCACCACGACAGCCTCTAAGTGTTTCAATCAAAATATGTACTGCTGGCAAAAATTGCCAACACAGTGAAGCTGCAGGTTGATTTATTACAGTATGTGTCTACCAAGGGAAAAACAACACTGTCGAAAACAGTACCTTGACATTCCCTTTGAGAGTTTTAATGGTCCTCAGCTAGAGGTATTTTTTATAATCTGTTGTGAGCACTGAGACAGCTCAGATTGAAGGACCTTGGCTTGTTGCACATTCCGTGTTGCTCGGAGTAAAAGTAATTCACATTATGGAAAGAAATTGATTTGATAAAGTCTCAGATTGAAACTGCATGATAAGGGGCATTTGTCTTAAAGGTAGTTCCTTATGTTAGATGAAGGCAGCAAACCTCCTTTATAAGCTGACTGGTATAACTGTCAGAAAAGTTGCAATGCAAAAGATAACAGGACACATATTCCAAATCTTTCTTCTCTTTCCACGTAGAAGAAAGAGAGGTCCCGCATCTCCTACTGACCGCAAAAGTTCATCACATGCTCAAAGAGAAATAGGGTTTTTACAAGATATTCCAAAAGCAGCCACCAAACACAGTACGTCACACATTGTCACAGTCTCCTCCTTGAAGAGCTCAGAGGTGTAGATAGAATATAACAATAACGATGGCATGGCCACAATTGCAAAGACGTGCAATGGTGTTTATTATGAGGAACTGTGTTCCCAAAGTCCACACCCAAAAAACAAAGTGAAAACCACAAACTAACCAGGAAAAAAGAAAACAACACAAAGCTATAGTACAAAAATATATACATTAATTGCTATAAAAAATAATTGTTGTAGGCAGCTACTATTCTACCCCACAAGCCACTTTCTCCAATATTCCCCCTCCTATCTTGAAGAGCTCCTTTTCTAGGTTAAACTCCTCCCCCTAGAATATTCCACTATAAAGCAAAACATAATTTTACAAAATAATAATCGGAATTCTAATATACACAGTTCTCCATTAAGTACACAACTAAACAATAAACATATTATTACCAAAAATAAAATATCATACTCCTTTTATGTACATAACTATTGTTGAAGAAAATACTGTCCCCTCTTAATGATATCTTCTTACAAATCAATCCACGCATGCGCAACCCTGAAACAGGCACTTGTCACACACACACACAACTTTTCAGTACTAGTTATGTTTGCTTTTACTTTTTTAAAACAACGTTACTGATTTGTTCAAAAGCATAATATCTGGTTAGCTTTTATAGTGAACAGTTTATCAGTATTACGTCTTTACTTAAAAGATAAGTTTTACCGTAAGTGACCATAATAAATAATAATAAATCATTATAAATAATCAAGAAATATAATTAAATGTAATTATTCTTGAACAAATGCTACACATACTGTACATTTAATGCTGTTTATCTTTTTGTACTAAAAATAATCTAGTATTCTTAACAGGGCCTGCAATCTTTTTCTTAATCATTACTATGTATTACGTCACGTCCCTGGAGGACTAGTCATTCCACCTCGCATTCCAGCACAGTTTCCAATTATCCAATTTACCTCAGCCTATTTAAGGCTGCTTTACACACTTCTCTCGGCTCATAATTAGGTTTATCCTGGCTAGAGCCACTCTTTCTATTTGTTTATTTGCTTCCTGACCCTGGTTTGTTCCCTCCACTACGTCTTCTGGTTTTGGTTTTGGCATTATACTTGTTGTATTGGTTTTCACTCTCGGCTTTCTCATGGCTTACGCCTCCACCTCTGGTTTTTAATCTTTTGCCCGGCTTGATTACCTATGGTATACGGACCCCGTATTTCTCACTCGACTACGCCTCTGGATATTGTTCTGGTGTCTGCATAGGGTCCTTACTACTACTTCGCAACACTATGCAAGTACTGGCATCATTCTTACTGTATGTACAGGTCAACAGACAAACATAGCTTGAGTCTCTTTTTACTAAACGATGAACCCATTACTGTGTCTTTTTTTCCCAGTTTTGTCTGTATGTTATATAACTTGAGTTTTATTTTCAGACTCTTTTAGTTAATATGAGAAAATACAGTGTGCAGTAGGTAAAATCTCAGTGTGCTGTTACTTTTGATGGGAAGAATGTTATTCCAGGAGTGTAATATTACTACTATAATATAGATTTACAATATATTAAAAAAAATACACTTAAGAAATCATTATATAGTCAATTCTGGATTTCTTGTAGCAGTTAATGAAAGAAGAAGCAGAAAAAACAAATGTGTAAAATGATAGCTACTGTACCCCTTAATTTTCCTCTACAACACTGAAATGAACTAACATTCAGAAATACCTTATTATACCTTATTATAAGCACAGCATTTTCCACACACCCTTGAAAATGTTACTTCTCCATATGCGCCTTAATGCATTGTTCTAAATTGAAATATCACATTAACAATCTGTGAAGTGTTGATGAACATACTTAGGTTAAAATCATAGACTCTTTAAATCAAATTAAAAACAAGATTAAAATCAGATGGTGATCTCTTTGTTTTGATTTTTACTGTATAAGCTATCATACAGAGTTGTGCCTTAAAGTCTCAAGGATAAAAAATGTGGTTATCATTATAACAACTCTGTCATACAGTAGTTTGCAGAAAGATGCTAGGGCAGCAACATCAGGTCCTGCGATTTCATACAATCTTCACACTTTTAAAATGTGTCATATTACAATGTGACACAGAGTTCCACATTCAAGTGTTGAAAAGAGAAGTCACAAATTATCTCTCAGAACCTTCCATTTCTTCGTATCCAACGTAACAAATCAAGAGGATGTGTTGTATTACTTCTACCCATGAGGAAGAGGTCATTTTCAATAACATTGCAAACTCAATATTAGAGATTCAATCCAACATGTTATTCAAACTCCCTTTGTGGAACTGTATTAAGTTATAGAGACAGGAGTATTGTATACTGTACATATCTCAACAATAAGCATAATTAGATCTGTAAAAATGATCCAGGAAATCAATATTTTAATATTTTGATAAAGGCTAGTTTAATTTCAGAAGATATCATAAAAAAAAACTAAATTCTGTGCAATAGTTTCATGCTGTTTTATTGGAAGAGTCTGTGACGAGTCCTTGTCACAGAAATTCCAAACTTTTAATTTGACCTTGATGGACGGATGGATTACTTCATGGACTTCTTTTATTCATGCTATTTTTTATATTGCTTAAGTCTAAAACCTAAAAATACTTTTTGCACAGTTAGTAATGTTTGATTTTCTTATTTTCCTTTTTTCTACAGATTAAAAGATTTAATCACTTTGTGATGCTAGCAGACTAACACCACACAGTGCTTTTATTAGTATTAGTTTGTGAAACCTATGACAGATCTACAACTGTGCTCTCCGTGGTGGGTGGAATAAGCAATGTTTCTAAATAGTCCTAGCACAAGGTGACTTTATTTGAAATGTCATACAGTATGCACTGTGACTGCAGAACACAAATAATTTTAAAATAGATTTGATTTAATTAGTGACAGTTACATTCCAAGTATGAAAATTACTTTGTTAGCCAAAATGGGTACCCAAGGAGCTGTACTGTATTTATAGCCAACCTCAGTTAATTATTGATAAAAATGTATAAAGTTTAACATTTATTTAATAAAAGATCTTCCACTCAGGAGGCTATTGTCATCATATTTGGAAAGCTGTTCCCTTTTTCTCCTTAATTTTTAATTTATTTGGAAGGTTTCTTCCATTCCCTGACCTACAGTACGCAGCTAAAATCTTTCATGAGCTGCACAGAACAATGATTCTGTCCTTGAAAATGACATTTCAGGACACCAGGAGTTTGCTTACATCTACTGACTCCCCCCCAC